CGTGCATGGGAAAGGCGCTCTGCACATCCAGCTCGCAGACGTCGAAGAATACCTGCCGCGCAGCCCTGACGTGCGCGCCAGTCCAGTCCGGACCTATCGGCTGCCACCAAAGACCAAACATGTCCTTGTGGATGCCCTTCGTGGCAAGGCCCATGTAAAAGACCTGCGCACTCCCTGCCAAACTGACAGAAGGGGTGTAAGGGGCTATGGTAGCCATCGCTGGCGCGGCCTCGACTATCCCGCACACTCTTGCACCCCTTCCCCTTGCGATGGAACAGGGGCGTCGCCGCGAGAGGATGCTCACTTGCCAGCGCGGCCACGCGGCCCACGCTCATGGCGCGCCGCGTCGTCGCGCCAGAGGCAGCGGCCAGGGGACTGGCATCATAGACATGCAACTTGGGCTCTTTGCCAACTGGCTCGGCGAGCGGAGGAACTCGCCGAGACATGGGAATCGAGACCACGTCGCCCAGGAACTTGCCGCCCCTCATGCGCGGGTGAACCCCTTCTGTCACGTCCCAACTTAGCGCCGCTGACGCAGCGCTAAGTATGCGGAGCGGCCGCCCAACGCCATCTCTTGCTGGGTGCTCAGTCTTCCACCGCAAGACACGGCCCGTCAGGTCTTCCACCACCGCCCCATCGCAACCGTCCTCGGCGCCAGAGGCAGCCGCTTGCGAGCTGCGTCGACGTTCCCCCATGATAACGCGCGCGATGCGCGCGATGGCGGCCGCCAAGAAAAGAGGCGCACCCAAGCCGAACAGGCTGCGATATGCGACAACGATGGCGGCTGCGAGGGCGAGGGCGGGGCTGACAAGGAGCACGCAGTAGAGCGGCGCGAGGCGGGAGCGAAGCTGAGGATGAAGATAACCTCGAAGCAGGGGGTGACCATGAGAAAGCTGAGGGCGGGGGCGACGCTGAGGATGGAGATGACCTCGGAGCAGCGTAAGGAGCTGGTCAGACTACAGAAGGTCAGGCTGATGTCGCAAGCAGTGCGAGGATCAAACGGGAGCTCGCACGAGGATGGGGTGGAGCAGGTACACATTCACAGGAATACCGTTTTATCATGAGCTAACGCATAAGAGAGGTCTCTACGCAATCTGCGAAATGATCAAGGGACGCCAGAGGCAGCCGCAGATTTGCGCCAGAGGCAGCAACTGTCAGCACGGCATGCGCATCACAAAGAAGCGCTCCACCGCGTCAACGCCAGGAAGGTGCAAACACCCTCCTTCGCGGAAGTGCTCGGCCAGAGCTTCGACGTGATCCTCGCCCAGCGCAAACTTGAGCGCGCGCCGCGCGAGCGCCGCGCACAGAAGTGGCATTTCTGCCGGAAAGGGCCGCGAAGAGAGGTAGTCGCACAAATTCATGGCGCCCCCGATAGCGCGATACACTGCACCCAGTCCCACGCCAGAGGAAGTGAATGCTGCGTGAGGCATATCCGTGATGAACATCACCTGCAAGCGCATGCGAACGGCGCCGCAGCACTCGGACCCCCACCCCCGCACAAGAGGCATGGTTTTGTACAGCTCGAATCGTGAACTTCGAGCAAATTGCGCCTGCGCAACAAACGACAGGAAGTCCATGACGCTCGAAAGACGACTGTCCCAGACGACGTGCCAGTTGAGCAGTGGCCGCAAAACTCCAGCACGCCAACGCGGGCGCTTACGACTAGGAGGGGTACCGCCAGAAGAGGCGGCGCCAGAGGCAGCCGAAGAATCCGCAGCAGCAGCGGGGCTCTAGAGTTCAGCCTGCTCTGCGCATAGCCTCTGGCGTGGAACCTCCGCACGCGCAGAAATGATGCCCAAGTCACCCGCTACAGTAACAGGAGGTGCTGGCTGTGGCACCTCTTCACGCCCGATCACCTCCTTAGTGTTCTGAGAAAGACAGAGGAAGCACACCAGATCATCCAGGTCGTACGTAGCGCCAGAGGCAGGCCAGACGTCCCCAGATATGAACTGGCAAACTTCGACGGCGTCCTGGCACCCTGTTCCGCGCCAGAGCCCATGCCAGCAAGCACATCCCAATCCCTCTTGGATAAAGTCGGTCGAACATCCTCTGCCTTGAAAAGCCAGCGGAAAAGCGTTGTGCGCGCCTACATCGCATTCGCCCACAACAGTACACAACGCAGATGCACCTCGCGAGTGGCATACGATGCGCAAGAGGCAGCAGTTGCGCCAGAGGCAGCAAAGGATGCCGCCAGCTTCTTCGTGGTATCCTCCAAACGGCCACCTCGCAATTCCTCCATAAGGACCTCGAACTCCTCCTCCGCTAGTCTCCTCTGAGTCGGATTCATCACGAGGTGGTAGGAAAAGATGCCAGCGGCGCCGCCGCCCAATGCACGCACCTGACGTCGCGGCATGATATCCACGGCGCCCTCGTTGCCATTGCATACGACCGAGAGCTCATCTGGTTGAAGAATCACCATGGCCTCTCGCCACGCACGTTCGTGCAAGGCTGCTCGGCCCTGTGCGTCGGCCACCGGGAGTTCGCCCTTGCGCCGCAGCAAATTGTTGTGGATGCACGCGACTGGCCACCTTCAGGAGCAGGGAAACACGACGCAGATAATCTCCAAACGCAACGCGCCAGAGGCAGCGAAATGTTCTCGAAGCGCCATGCCTGCCGCTATAGCCATGCGAACGTCGCGCCTGTGACGCAGCGACGCGATGCAACCGCCCTGCACGAAGTCACCGAAGCAATTCGCGACAGCCCCGATGAAGTTCCGCATCCGCTTCACCTTAAAGTGCGCTCCACGGCGAGCGGGGCGGAACCGACGGCAATCCTCAATCTTGCACGACCCGTCGTCACGAGCACGCTGTCCGCAGACGGGGCGCCAATGCGCCATCGGCGAGTAAAGCGCCAGAGGCAGCGCAGAAACTTATGCGCCAGAGGCAGCAGGCGCGCCAGAGGCAGCGCTTCAGTTCATCTTTGCGCTCGCCTGCAGAACAACGGAACCTGCGGTCTATTCGCCTCAGGCGGGTGGCTGCGTCGCTGGTCTTGAGCCCGAGCTGCGCTCTGCCCTGCTGCTGCTGCTGCTGCTCCAGCTGCGGCTGCTGGTCCTGCTGCTGCCGCTGCTACTGTTGCTTCTCCATTTTCCTGGTCCTCCTCCATCCTCCCCCTCTCCTGCTCCTCATCCCCCGCCTCCCTCTCAGCCCCCTCACCTCCTCACCTGGTGAAAGCGCGCAAGCCCGAATTCCCCCCTCGACTTTCACAGACCGAGACATACATTCAACATATGCAGACAGCCCAAAGAATGGTAGCCGCCCACGTGGCCAACGGCCGGGCTGCGAGTCTGAATTCTGCACTCGCCCGGGCTGCTTTTGCTTTGCCAATGTTGCAAATAGCCGAATCATGAAGCTCAGCATTCGCCACAGACAATCGATCTGCGAAATCCGATTGGGCAAACAGCCAAACTGAAGAGCCCCAATTTTGCAAATAGAAAGACTGCGAGACCCAATTTTGCAAACAGTAAAATTGCGAGCGCCAATTTTGCAAATAGAAAAGCTGCGAGCGCCAATTTTGCAGACAGAAAAACTGCGAGGCACAATTTTGCAAACAGAAAGTTGCGAGCGCCAGTTTTTGCAAATAGAAAAATTGCGAGCGCCAGATTTAGCAAACAGGAAAGCTGCGAGCGCCAATTTTGCAGACAGAAAAGTTGCGAGCGCCACTTTTGCAAACAGGAAAGCTGCGAGCGCCAATTTTGCAGACAGAAACACTGCGAGGCACAATTCTGCAAACAGAAAGCTGCGAGCGCCAATTTTGCAGATAGAAAAGTTGCGAGCGCCACATTTTAAAAGCAGAAAAGTTGCGAGCGCCAGTTGTGGAAACAGAAGATGTGAGCGCCAAGTTTGCAAACAAGAAAGCTGCGAGTGCGAATCTTACTAAAAGAAAAATCACTAGGCGACAACTCACACTCCCAACCTCTGCTTTTTGTAAGTTAGAAGGACAAGGGATTTTGCAAACAGCCATCCTTGATTACCCGACAACTCCAACATTGACATCTCTTCTCATCAACTTTGCAAACGGCCGACTTGTCGACAACTCGTATATTCAACGAATGGCTTCTGTAACTTACAAGGACAAAGAATTTTGCACACAGCCATCCTTACTTCCACCGCAACGACAAGAACGGCGACATCGCTCCCGGCCAAGAGCCGACAACTCGGTTGCCCAACATCTGTGGTTTGGAATGTTGTAAGGCTAGCGCAAACTCCTATCCGCTAGCTTGACAACATGAGAAATCCTTATGCTGGGCACTTTAAGCCGGCAGCTCGACTTCCCAACATAAGGATTTCTTATGTGATAAGGCTAACGAATACTCGCCAACCCTAGCCTTAACAACATCTCTTGATGTTCCTCCTCCTCTTCACCACGAGGAAACGGCACAATACGAAGCGAAAACTTACGGAAACACGCGAACACACATCAAAATAATATGTATATATATATATATATATTGAAGATATATATATATATATATGTATATATAACGCGAAAAACATAACCATCGGAAGAAGACAGCTTGCGCCCCCCCCCCCCCCCCCCCCCCCCCCCCCCCCCACACACACACACACACACACACACACACCCGCCCACCCCCTCTTCCGCCTCCTCCTCGCAGGGCCGCATCAAAATTAGGAAAAAAAATGAAGTGAAAGGCGATAATTTGCGATGGCGATGGCGATGGAGAAAGGGAAGCGACATCTCTTTGCCCGACGTTCGCAAGCGCGCCCCGTCAACGCTGAGAACCTTCGGACCCAGCTCATTCCAAACCTTCCGTACGGAGATAGCCCAGTTCACCACGTCCAAGAGCGCGCCAAAGGAAACGCCGCCAGAGGCAGGCCCACCGCAAGCTTCCACGACGATCTTCCTTCCAGGCGCTTGGGCGATGCGCCGCAATGCGCTGCGCGCGGATGGGCGCACCACGTGCAGCCTCTCCTCAACGCGGAGTTTGGCCTTCTGCTCGCATGCCCTAGCATGTCTGAGATATTGGCTGGGCAATGGACGACCTGGAGCGCAACGAGCAGCAGCCAGTTGAACGCTGGCGACGACGTCCAAACGAAGCGCCACGATGTACAGGAACGATGCTGTCAGGTCCGCGTCAGCTGCAAGCGACGCAGAGTCGTGAAGAATTGCGAGACCCCTGACAACAACCAAAGATGCCAGCGCGCATCTGTGCGCCCCCTTCACTTCTCCGGAGCCCCGCAGTCGCGTCTCCCCAATCGCACCAGGGGCAGCGAGCACCGCCACCTGGCTGCGCGGCGATGGACCCTCGGGCGCCAAACGAGCGCCCCGAGAGGCGGCGAGGTCAGCGCCCGGAGGCATGAGAAAAACGCCGCCTGGCGCCGCCCGAACCTGCGTGACGCCAGCGATGTTGCGCACGGATCGGCGATGAAACTTCTGCAAGTCGTCACTCCAGCGGGTGCTCCGACCCGTGCCTGCGCCAGGATGTAGCGCTGCACTGGCAACGAGCGCAAGCTTGCACTGCGCGGCCAGGCAAGCAGCAGCGAGAACGCCAACAGTGGCGCGGCGCAGGACGCCTCTGGTAGCGGCCCTCTTCAGACTGGCCGCGCGCGTGCCCGCGGGGTTGCAATGGCCAAAGCGCGCCGTAGAGCTGCGCCAGAGGCAGGCGCACTTGCTAGAAAAGGACGCGAGCTTTTCCCTGGACGACATAGCACCAGCCGAATCCTCGAACAGCGGCGGTTCGCGGACCGAGAAGTTTCGAGATGAGGCAATCGTCGAGGAAGTCTACGTCTGACGTGCGCTGCTCCACCATCTTGTTCCGAAAGAACGCGAAATCGCGCTCGACTGCGCACTCGCCGCCCTCAATGGAAATATAAAACCGGATGGGCTGGCGGAGGGCACGAGAACCACCGACCAAACGCTTCGGACACGCAGCGTGCCAGAAGGCGTCGTCCAGCAAACGCGCCCACGCTTCCTGGTTGGTCTTCTCCGATAGCGGCTTGCCTGCAGAGAATTGCTGCACCATGAATGGGGGGGGGGCGTCCTGATACTGCTGCGCGGCCGCCGCCTCGTCGCAACCGAGCGCCGCGGCTACCTGCCTCACGCCTCGGAGAATGGACTTGCGCGTCTTCAGGCAAGGCAGATCCCCGAACCCTTTCCTAACGAGGCGGCGATCGAACATGGACAATGCCGAGCGGAGGTCGTTTTGAGGAAAATCAGCAAGAAGCCGATCATTCGTCAAAATCGCCGCATTCTGCACTCCCTCGAGCAACTCTTCCTTGCGTGCGTCACGAGGCTCACCCCAGTGCAACGCTGGATTACCACCAGCCAAGAAAATATACTTGCGCCGAAGACTTGACATCACGGTGGTCGCGCCTCGCCGTGCGCACCCACGCATGGCAGCGGTTCGGCGCTCGCGGCGGCGGCGCCAGCGGCAGCCTGCATGGAGACGGCGGCGCCGGGGGCAGCCAGCCTGATGCTCTAAAACGCACGACCTTTCTTGAAGACAGCGTCAGGCGTCTCCACCATGCAAACGATCTGCAGACGCGATGCCGCGATGTCGTGGTTGGCAACATCGAGTAAGCGCAAAAACCAATTGCAAATAATGCCCCAATCCGCGGACGCACCGACAACCATGCAAAACTTAGTGTCCAGCTTTTCCAGCAAAGTCGCGGCTCGCTCACGCTGCTCGCTGCCGTGGCGTTCGTCAGACGCGATGCAAGCAAGCAAAGTCGCCACTGGCAACAACATCAGCGCAATCTCCCCGACTGGCCCCGCCGTGGAATCGAACCGTTGCTTCGCGAACGATAGACTCCGCACAACAGCTTCCAAGGGCTTGCGACCAAGACCAGCTTCCGCCAGAGGCGGGAGGTTGTCCTCTTGAATGGCCACGAATAGGTTGCGCCACGCGTCGCTGCTCATTATGTCTGGCGCCAAAGCGCGTCGGTTAGCGAACAACTCGCGCCGCACCTCGCCAAACACGTCGTCGCAATGCGACGATTGGCTCGCGAGACGCATGGCATGCGCAGGGCCTCGTATCACTATCAGGAGGTTTGGGAAGAGTTCCCGAGCAGCGAGAAACACTGCTCGCCGCTCCTTCGCGGCACCAGCTGCTGCAGTACTGGTGACGGTCTCCAGCACATGCGACTTGAGCGATTCATCGCACGCCAGAGGCAGTGCTTTTCTTCGGCCGCGCCCCAGTGGCGTGCAGAACTTCGAGAGGAAACGGCCGAGCTGCTTCGCGGCCGTCGCGGCGTGGCCCTCCTCGAACTCCGCTGCGCGGCTCTTCCTGCAATCGAGGACGCCGAGCACGCCAGAGCGGCGATAGCCTGGAGCCCTGACGCCGCCGCCAGGGGCAGGCACGTCAGCGCGATCTCTAACAACCTTGCGGTACTTCGGCTCGTCCAGGGACAACGATACCAACGTGGCGTTACGAAGCACCTCACGGGTGTCGACGCAGAGTACCTCCGCCATCACGCAGAGCTGCTTGCGCCTGCGTTTCCGAATTGTGTTCTCCGTCTGGTCGTCTACGCAGAACTGCTTCCGCCGCGCGCGAGCGCACTTGCGAAGAGAGGGCGTCTCAGAGAGCATCGCCCACGCATCCCTCCATCCCGCGGCCGATGGTACATTCCCACGCAGAAGCGCAGCGTCTCCCGCCGCCACTTCTCCCGTTTTGTTTGTTATCCAATGAAGAAGAGTCTTCGCACGCCAGAGGCAGCGAAGAGTCTTCGCACGCCAGAGGCAGTGGCTTGGGCGGGAATTCTGCGCAAAATCTCTTAACCTGCTTCTCTCCCGCTGCGCGTCGATGCGCTGCTGGCCTCTGATGCTGTCGCACTTGGAATATGGCGTGGAAGCCCGACAATAGGCGCACCCGGAATGATGCAAATTTGGAGAACCTTCCGTCAGAGCTCGCGCGCCCGGCGGCCGCAGCCTTCGCGCAGACTCGGCAACCCAAACCCCGCTGGCCGCGATGCTCACCTGCTGCCAGCAACGACGAACCATTTGGCAGGAGAGATGGCGCCGAGCACGTCTTGCGACGTCGGTGAAAATCGCATCTGATACAGAACGCCTTCGCGCAAAGATAACGCTTGGCGATGTGCTCCGCATCGGAATGGGGCCCTGAGGACGGGCGCGAGAAGTCCGCAGACCGAGAGCCAAGCTTCGCCCAGATTTTGCCGGCAGGAGCCCTTCCCCCACTCTTTCTCGCCTCGGTCACAATCCGCGCGACGCCAACGCGGGACTGAACCGCCCTGCGCTTTCCCCGCCCCTTCCCACGACGCGCCAGAGGAAGCGACGCTGCTTTTCCGTTTCCAAGATGCGCCAGAGGCAGCAAAACCCTCGCCAGAGGCAGAGATTTCTTCTTGGCGCAGGACGCTCCGACCCTCGCCAGAGGCAGAGATTTCTTCTTGGCACAGGACGCTCCGACCCTCGCCAGATGCAGAGATTTCTTCTTGGCACAGGACGCTCCGCTGCGGGTTTGCCCGCCATGTCTCCGCGACTGCAACGACTGCCCCACGCCCGCTGCTGCCGGCTTCTTCTTGAGACGCTCTCCGAATCGAAAGTAAAGTGGCACGCGCATCACCCAGCACCGCGCCCCCGATCGCGGTGCGCCCCAGATGCCTGTCACTTCGCCTGTGCCAAACGGCTGTGGAGCAGAGGCGGGCTCGACAAAATGGAAACTAAACGCGCCCATGACAGAACTAAATAAGACCACGGGGCAATGGTCGGGTCTAGTTTTTCCTTTGGTCGGAGCTAGTTTTTCCATTGGTCGGGCATGCTTTTCCTCTGGTCGGGTCTAGTTTTCCCCTGGTCGGGTCTAGTTTTTTCCTTTGGTCGGGTCGAGTTGTTTCCCCTGGTCGGGTCTAGTTTTCCCTGGTCGGGTCCAGTTTTCCCTGTGGTCAGATCTAGTTTTCCTGGTGGTCGGGTCTGGTTGTTCCCCTGGTCGGGTTTAGTTTTCCCCCGGTCGGGTCTAATTGTCCCCTGGTCGGGTCTAGTTGTCCCTTTGGTCGGGTCTAATTTTTTCCTGGTCAGATCTAGTTTTCCTCTGGTCGGGTCTACTTTTCCCCTGGTCGGGTTTAATGTTTCCTTTGGTCGGGTCTCGTTTGTCCCTGGTCGGGTCTAGTTTTTCCCTGGTCGGGTCTAGTTTTCCCTGGTCGGGTCTAGTTTTCCCTGTGGTCGGGTCTAGTTAGTACCTGGTCGGGTCTAATTTTCCCGGTGGTCGGGTCTAGTTTGCCTGGTGGTCGGGTGTAGTTTTCCTTGTGGTCGGGTCTAGTTGTTCCCTGGTCGGATCTAGTTTCCCCTGGTCGGGTCTAAGTTTTCCATGGTCGGGCCATCTTTTTCCGTTGGTCGGGTCGAGTGTTTCCCCTGTGGTCGGGTCAAATTTCCCCTGTGGTCGGGTCTAGTTCTCCCCTGGTCGGGTGTAGGTTTCCTCTGCTCGGGTCTAGTTTTCCCTTAGTCGGGTCTAATTTTTCCTTTGGAAGGGGTTTAATGTTTCTCTGGTCGGGCTTAGTTTTCCCTGGTCGGGTCTAGTTTTCCCCTGGTCGGGTCTAAAGTGTTGCTGTTGTCGGGTCTAGTTTTTCCATGGTCGGATCTAGTTTTCCTTTGGTCGGGTCTAGTTTTCCCCGTTGGTATGGTCTAGTTTTTCCCGGTCGGGTCTAGTTTCCCCTGGTCGGGTCTAATTGTTTCCCTTGGTAGGGTTTAGTTTTCCCTGTGGTCTGGTTTAGTTTTTGCCTGGTCGGATTTAGTTTTCCTGTGGTCGGGCCTAGTTTTCCCCTGGTCGGGTCTGTTGTTTGTTTGTCTTCCCTTTGGTCGGGCCTAGTGTTTCTCTGGTCGGGTCTAGCTTTCCCCTGGTCGGGTCGAGTTTTCCCCGTGGTCGGGTCTAGATTTTCCCCGGTCGGATCTAGTTTTCCTCTGGCCGGGTCTAGTTTTCCCAGCGGTCGGGTTTAGTTTTTCCTTTGGTCGGGTCTAGCTGTTCCCTGATCGGGTCTAGTTGTCCCCCGGTCGGGTCTAGCTTCACCATTGCCCGGTTAAGTTTTTCCTTTGGTCGGATCTAGTGTTTCCCCTGGTCGGGTCTAGTGTTTCCCCTGGTCGGGTCTGTTTCTAGTTTTTTTTCTGGTCGGATCTAGTTGTCCTCTGGTCGGGTCAAATTTCCCCCTGGTCGGGTCTAATTGTTCCGTTGGTCGGGTCTAAATTTCCCTGTGGTCGGGTCTAATTTTCCCTTGGTCGGGTCTATTTTCCCCCTGGTCGGGCCAAAGTTTCCCTTTGGTCGGATCTAGTTTTCCCATGGTCGGGTCTAGATTTTCCTTTGGTAGGATTTTCTTTTGGTCGGGTCTAGTTTTCCCTGTGGTCGGGTCTAGTTTTTCCTTGGTCTGATTTAGTTTTCCTCTGGTCGGGTCTAGTTGTCCCCTGGTCGGGTCTAATTGTTGCTGTTGTCTGGTCTAGTTGTTCCCCTGGTCGGGTCTTGTTTTTCCCTGGTCGGGTCTAGTTGCCCCTTTGGTCGGGTGAATTTTTCCCTGGTCGGATTTAGTTTTCGTCTGGTCGGGTCTAGGTTTCCTCTGGTCGGGTCTAACTTTCCTGTGGTCGGGTCTCGTTTGTCCCTGGTCGGGTCTAGTTTTCCCGGGTCGGGTCCAGTTTTCCCTTGGTCGGATCTAGTGTTTCCTTTCGTCGGGTCTAGTTTTTTTTCCCCCATGGTCGGGTCTAGTTGTCCTGGTGGTCGGGTCTAATTTTGCCCTGGTCGGGTCTAGTGTTCCCCTGGCCGGGTCGAGTGTTCCCTTTGGGTCGGTGCTAATTGTTCCTTTGGTCGGGTCTGATTTTTCATTGGTCGGGTCTAGTTTTTCCCTGGTCGCGTCTAGTCTTCCCCTGGTCGGATCTACTTTTCCCTGCGGTCGGGTTTAGTTGTCCCGTGGTCTGTTTTAGTTTTCCGTTGGTCGGGTTTAATTTCTCCCTGGTCGGGTCTAGTTTGTTCTCTGGTCGGGTCTAATTCTTCCTTGGTCGGATCTAGTTTTTCCCTGGTCGGGCCTAGTTTTCCCTGTGGTCGGGTCTATTGTTGTGTCCCCTGGTCGGGTCTAGTTTTCCCTGTGGTCGGGTCTAATTTTTCCCTGGTCGGATCTAGTTCTCCTCTGGTCGGGTCTAGTTTTCCCCTGGCCGGGTCTAGTTTTTCCTGTTGGTCGGGTTGAATGCTTCCCTGGTCGGGTCTAACTTTCCCTGGTCGGGTCTAGTTTTCATCTGGTCGGGTCTAGTGTTTCCTGTGGTCGGGTCTAGTTTTTCCCTGGGCAGATCTAGTTTCCCTCTGGTCGGGTCTAGTGTTCCCCTAGTCGGGTCTAGTTTTTCTTCTGGTCGGGTATATTTGTTTCTCTGGTCGGGTCTAATTTTCCCTGGTCGGGTCTAGTTTTCCCCTGGTCGGGTTTAGTTGTTCCGTTGGTCGGGTCGAAGCGTTCCCTTGGTCGGGTCTAGTCGCCCCTGTGGTCGGGTCTGGTTTTCTTCGGTCGGGTCTTGTTTTTGCCCTGGTCGGGTCTAATTTTTCCCTGGTCGGGTATAGTTCCCGGTGGTCAGGGCTAGTTTTTCTCTGGTCGGGTTTAATTTTTCCCTGGTCGGGTCTAGTTTTCCCCTGGTCGGGCTTGTTTTCCTTGTGGTCGGGTTTACTTTTTTCCCTAGTCGGATCTAGTTTTCCTCTGGTCGGGTCTTGTCCTTTCTTGCGCCAAGCTCCAGGTGGGAGCCACCTGTAGACGAAGACCAGGTCGCCCGTCTCGTACTTCTTGAACGATCTGAATCGCGCGGACTCCGCGCGCTTGACTCGGTCGGAGTTCTCCGTTTGGATGTGAGCGAGCCGTGCTCCCCGTCGTACTTGAGCGCCCCTGCTGAAGGTACCATCCAGCAGCTCAGCGCTGATGAGCGGCAGGTTGCTCGGCTCGTCGAATAGGTTGACCGCGGTGCCAGTGGGTGTCCGTCCCGCATAGCGCTGCAGCGGACTGAAGCCGTCGATCTCGTCGATGGCGTCGAGGGCCTCCTTGAAAGCTTCGATCGCCCGTTCGATCTTGCCGATCTGCCAGTGGGCGTCGGCAGCACATGGGAGGCAGTTGGCTCCATGGCTCTCGATCCACTCGCGGAACTCGTCGGAGATGGCGCTCCCAGCTGGGTCATAACGTCGGCGCGTCCCCGGGGTCGCCTTCTCGTCGACAAGCCGTGCGCAGAGCATGTCCAAGCCAGCGTCGAGGATCGCTAGCGCCATCACGTTAGCATTCGCGCTGCGACGTATCCAAGAAAAGGCGTCGAACAAAACCTCGTACACATTCTGGGGCTGCTCTGCTGATGAGGCTGGTGGCCGCTTTGTCGGTGGTCGGTGAGCGCCACAAATGTCGCACCTGAAGGTTCTGGCCAACCGTAGCACAACAGGTCTAGCACCTCGGTCTCGTAGGCATCATAGAAGATGCGCTTGAGGTAGATGCCCCAGGTTGGCGTGCACCAGCCTGATGTAGCTCTCGAGCTTCTTGACTGTATCGCTTGTGAGGTTGTGTGACTCCTTGCCGTCTAGTGGTGGAATGTACGTCTCGTCCTCTCCCGGCGTAGGCTCAGTAGGTGGTTGCTGGGTAGCAGCCATACAGTGGCGATTCGCAACCTCTTCCTCAAAGTAATTATGATTCTGGCTCTTGGTCAGAGCACGGAGAATCCGGCGGCGCAGCATCTTGGGGTAGTAGCAAGAGGCCTCGGTCCTCAGACTGCTCTCGATCTCCTGATGGTAGTGTCCTCCACGGCATTGTAGCGGCTGGAGGGCCACCCAGATCCTCGTCGTTCGCCAAGAACTTCCAGCGCTTCTTCATGAGCTCGCCCGTGTCCGGGGCTCTGAGTCCGCAGGCGCAGCCGTCTACGATCACCTCGCAGGGGAGAATATTGTGCAGGTCCTTCCAGCAGGTCTTCTGCCACGACCGACTGTTGCGTGGCTGCTGGGCAAGGGCCGAGCCATTCAGGTGGAGCACCTGATGCTCGATGAACCTCTTGTTGTTCTCGAAGATCCGCTGGCTCTTGAGTCGCTCCCTGCGCAGATTCTCCTTCTGCTTGTCGTCGCGCTGGTTGACGTTCTGCATGATCGACCACGGCCCGCAGGGGGGAGTGCTGACGAGGAGCTCCGGGCGCTTCTCGTCCAGCAGGAACTTCGCCTTGTGGTAGCCCTGCGGCTTGCTGAGGTCGCAGTCGTTGAACAGGCCGAGCCTCTCGCAGTGGTCGCCCTTCTCGTCGCAGACCTGGCCAAGGTTGGAGTCCTCGTGGGTGCGCGCTTCGACCATCGTCAATCGGCCGAAGGTCGAGAGGGCGCGCGTAGCTCCGAAGATGGCCGAACTCGTCGAGCGGGCAGCTGCACGAATGGCCTGGCGCTGATGGCCTCTCAGTGGACGGCTCTTGTCACTTCTCCAGCGTAGCAACTCGGCCTGAATGTCACTCAGGCCTTCGCCCTGCTCCCGCACGCCTGGTGGCGCCACCCGAAGGGCTTCGCCTTCACGATCGGCTCGTTCTTCGCGATGCCCCGCTGCTGCTGGCAGTCCGGGCGCTGGCACATCTGCGCGTAGCGCGCTGGGATCGCCGGGCATACGACGGTAGGCACCGTCTCCACCTTCTTGGTATCCGGTTTCTTCTTGGCCTTGATCGTTGCTGCCGCCGTGCCGCGCTGTTCGATGATGTGCGCGATGAGCCTGTCGATCACCACTTCCTTCTTGCCAGACTGCGTCAGTCCCCAGGTCTAGCACAGGGGCTTCAGGTGATTGACCACCGTCTCCATGTTGAGCTTCTCGTAGATCTGTTCCGAGCTGAGTGCTGCAAACGCATCCACCGTCGCATACTTGGTCGAGAAATCACACTTCGCGGTCTCGATGGTGGCCCTCAGCTCCTGATTCTGCTCGCGCGCGGCCGCGGAGGCGGCTGACCTCTGCTTCGCCTCCGCCCTGGGGCGGCATGGCTCGATCTTCGCACGCTGCTCGAGCTCCGCCGGCCAGGTCGGGCACTTCTCGGGCCGCAGCTGCACATGTAGGCCGATGCTGTCCAGCTTCCAGGTCACCCGGTCGATCGTCTTGAGGAAGACCTTCATGATGACCCGCCCCCAGCGGCGGCACATCGTCCACTGCTGCAGGAGCTTGCTGGACCACATCTCCCAGGTCGGCAGATGCTCCAATAGGAAGGTGTCCGCCAGGCGCTTCATGCTCTTGCCCAGCTCCGAGCCTTCGACCGCGTGGAACATGTTGCCCCTCGTGTCCCGGTGCTGTATCAGACGAGCCGACGGCGGCATCGGCCGCAGCGTAAGTCTCGTTGACGTCGGAGGGCGAGTCGTCGGCGCTGGCGCGCCCGAGCCCAGTGGCGGCACCTCCTCCCATGATCCGCCCATATCCTCGTTCTCCAGCTTCGCGGCTTTGCGGCAGTTCGCCTCGCGGCTGAGGCTCATGCGAATATGGAAGAAATGCTGGTTGCTGAAATTGGAGCTCTGAGCTCGGATCTATTGCACCATAAATGGCTCTTGCAGACGGGAGCGCTTCGGTCTGGGGCCCTGGGGGCCTGGGGATCTCTGGGAGAGCCTCTGAAGGTTTTCCTGATAATGTCATAGTTGGTGCTGTATGGGAACGATACTGATGATGTCCACGACGTTTGTAAGGATGATGTCCCCGTAGGCGTAGGTAATGATGATGTCCGCGCGGTCGTAGGTAATGATGGCGCAGGTATATAATGATGATGTCCCCGTAGACGTAGGTAATGATGATGCACCTGGGGCCTGCGGGGCCTCGTGGGGCGCAGCTGCAGGCGGTTTATATTTCTCGCTTTGACCGGCTGCTCGTTTTCAGGTTTTCCCTCCGGCACCGCAGCAGTCTCGGGCGTCGAGGGCGCGCGCCCCTACCGAAGGGGCGCCACGAAGCCAACATCGGCTCGACGTACAAGTGGCAGTGCAAGGTGGCCGCTCGGATGGACGAGCAGCTCAGCTCGGCGTCCGAGCTTTTTGAAGCACACAGAATGCGCCTCGCAGTCGATCACAGCTCCGAGGCGGCTCAGCACGCCCGCCCCGATCAGGAGCGGGGCGCCCGCGTCGAGGATGTGTATCTCGAGCTCGCCGTCAGCGCCAGCGATCACGAGGGGAAAAGGTCGCCTTGCCGTTGCAGGTCCTGGCGCTGTCGTCACCAAATATAAACGTACTCTTCTGGCGAACGTCCATCTTGATGTTCTTGCCCGTCTGCTCATAGATAATGTCGCGCAGGTTCTCGGCGGCCTCTATGCCCATGATGCTGGAGGTCGCGCCGACGTCGAGAATGCCGAAACCCTTGGAGGAGCTCTGCGTCACACTCAGGAGGATCCAATCCTCTGCCCTGTAGCTTCACGTGCTGGACCTGCTCTCGTAGCTCGATGGACTTCTCGATCTGCATGTAGAGAGTCTTGTCCAGCTGCTTCTTCTGGTTGGCAGTCTTCGGCCGATTCATGCTCACTGGCACGTTGGCAAGTGAAGCTTCCAACCGTAGCAGCGAAATCTCGCTCGCGATGAGGTTGGCTTCCATCTCGGCGTCCGGCTCAGCGCCGAAGAAGACGAAAGCTCCGAATCCCTTTGTGTGTCGGTCTCGGTCGCCCCGACTGCCAGTAGAAGATGCGCGTTCTCGATCTCGATGATCCTTGGTCTCGCGGTTACCGCCGCACTTCAGACATGGTCCTTTCCTGGGAGGCCGACCTTGGGAGCGATCTCCTTCTCGTCGGGGTGGTCCATCACGTCGCTGCCCACTCCCTCGGCCTCGTCCCTTGGGCGACCCTGAGCCTCGGGATCCAGCCCGGGGCCCTTGCGGTTGGCGGTGTCCACATCGGTATTATCACTTCTTGTTCTCATCCACGGGTTAAAATTTCCTGGCGGTCTTCACTCGTCGCAGTAGATCTCGGGCTTCCTCGAAGCTTCCCTGCCGGGCGGCGAAAGCGGTCTCTGCTGCCTCGATCTCCTGGGCACTGTAGAGCGGTCCCTCGGGGTTCTCTTCATCCTCGTCGTCGCCCTGGCCGTCGTAGGAAGCCTCCGACTCGTGCTCTTCGAAATAGCTGTACTCGTCGCCCTCTTCGCTGTTCGCCTCTCAGCCGGCATGAATCCGTCCACGATCTCGGTGACGATAGTCCTTGCCCTGCTTCTTGTCCCGATTAGTCAGCTCATCGTCTGGCCAGGAAATTCGCAGCTGCTCTCCGATGCTGTCGCAGTCGAAGTTGCCCTTGACTGCGCTGATGACTGCTGCGCGCTCCGTCGGTGCAAGTCTCGACCCCTGCAGCAGTAGCCAACCACGTAGCTGGTCTAAGGGGATCGCTTGGCTGAAGTCCGTCCCGAAGTCGGGGTGCTCTGAGATCTCCTCGAGGCCAGTCTTGACGAAGCTCCAGAGCGAGTGGTTCAGCTCCCTGGCCTTCTCAGAAGCGTCCTCCGGGCCCTCCTGCTCGATCTTATACAGGAACCAGGTGAGCTCGCGGTAGATGCTGTTCCACTCCGTGGCTCTCTCCGAGAGGCGGGCGGCGCGCTGCTTCCTGAAATGCTCGGCGTCGAACCCTTTGACCGCGTCATGGTAGGCTTCATCGTCTCTGCTGATGCAGCTCGGCATCGGTTCTCCTGCGCCCCGTCGCACATCGAAGATCCATCTCGCCAAATACTTGCCTGCACCCCGAATGGGTTGAGCTCCGAGCTTTGATCGAGCATGTCTGAGCAACTCGGTAGCATCTTCGCCCTTCTCGATGCGGTCCCAGTCGACATCCTTTGCTGATTGTCTCGCTCGGCCTTCGAGTCGTCTCCATAATCGTGGGCCGCGCGCTTATCGTCCGTCTCGACGGGCCCCTCGTATGTAGGCCTTCGCATGTCTTTCGTAGTCGTCCACCGTGGTGAGATCTCCGTTCCACTTCCGTACGATATCGTCTCCGATATTATTGGCCATGGCCCGTGGAACATGTTAGTCCGTGAATCTGTAGTCCGTGGAGCGCATGCCCCGCTACAATGCAATGGTCCCGCTTGTTGACAACTGCCCTGGTACCAATCCAGAATAGTTGTCTCCTTTCTCTGACAATGATCTGCTAGGAGTCGTTGTAGGCGTCGTCAGACGCGGGGAATCTGGGGGCAGTGGCGGTGCGATTCTGATCGCACGATGGTGATGAACAGGATCTGCGTCAGCGGGCAGTTCGCTGTTCTGCGTCTCCCAGGCGCACGCCAGTCAGTCCAGCGTCGCTGTGACGCTGTAAAGCTTGAGCCAGAACGGTTTCGGATGAACCTGTTCTGGGGTATTTTAATGGGGATCTCGGAGGGCCTACCAAGCAAGGCTAGCTGAAACCTCGAGGCTTAAGTGGGCCCGGTTCGCCGGGAAACGCAGGTATACACAAAAGAAGCCCCTGTGGAGTCTGATCCTTTACATGTCGCGCTCGGCCTAGCGCTCCCCCTGCGTCTCCGGCATGCGACCCGCCGCCAGGGGGCGCATCCTCGGGCGCGGCCGGGGCGAGAAAGGTACTGAAGGGAATGGGCCGCCCGAAGCCCGGCCTCTTGATCACCGAGAAACTACAAAGCAGTAGACGGCGTCGGAACGACGGCGACAGACAGCAACGCGCAAGCACTGACAACGCAGTGGAATTCGCCGAGGGATGGCGACATAGACGACGTGGCCACATGGGCACCCTGACTCGCTACCAGGCAAGCGCGCGCGGCTGCCATGGGCGGCCCAACTCGATTGGGCCGTGAAGGGGATTCGCAAATCGACACTGTGGCATGCCCACTAGCCACAGCGGGCCTCGACCGCATCAGCGCATGGAAGACGCCCCTGTCCGATCACGCCCTCGCATGCGCTGACCCCGCCACGCAGCCGTTCACCAAGAGGATCGACGCCCTCGCGCACTGGGCCTACAAGGCCCTGCCAAGCGAAGCCCGCGCCGACTTGCGCAGAACATGCACATATAGAGCGGCTGTTCGACATCCTGAGGGTCGATCCGACGGGGCTCGTACAACCGAACAACTGGCAAGCCGGCGCAAGGCCCGGGCAACGCCCGGACGGTCACCGTCACCCGGCGGGCGTGATACACGTGGATCAAGACGACGGCCCGACGCCCCCCGCGGCCCCTAGCCCGATTCTCACGCGGCGCCTCGCAGACGTCACCTACTGGCGCACTTTGGTCGGCATGCGCTGTCCGCCGCCATGCAGGCCTGGTGGCGCAGGTGGAACAGGAAAGACAAGGGCCTCGGACCCGGGCCCCTCCAGCGGAGGGCGCTCCGTGCCAACGAAGGGCTACATCCCACAGGCGCACTTGCCGCCTGGATGATGGATATGGGCTGGGACGGGCAAGACCTGGCCCAAGACCAGGTACCCATGGACCAGAGAAGAGCTGCGAATCTCACGCCATGACAGCGAGGGGCGGGAGCTGAGAGGGCACCCCTGGCCCCTCACTACAGAGAAGGCAGCAAGATCGCCCCAAAGGCTCACTCTCTCATGGGGGTGCGAGACGACCTCGGCTACTTGGGCGACAAGGCGCCAGAAGTCGCCCAATTCCTGCGGGGCAGCAGGGCTGGAATCTGGCAGACAGCTCCGCCCATGCCACGGTGCGCAGAGCGGCTCCTCGTTGCTTACTTCGCGGGTGGATGACGGGCGCAAATTGACACCCAAGCCCACATGGGGCCGAATGGCTGCCCTGGTCCTGGGGCCCAGCGGCAGCGCGCCGGGGGTGGACGGAGAACCGAGCGAAGTCTACCACCAAGGGGCAACCTTTGTTGCATGCCTCCTTGCCAACGCCTGGCATGTAGCTGAAAGTGAAACCTCCCTACTGGACGCGATCCTCGGCCCGCTATCGACCTCCTCGCATGGCAGCTGCAGCTCGCCACCTGCATGCATCGGCTGTTCGGAGCTTCGCTGGCGGATCTACTGGGACCGCTCGTCGAACGCCAGCCGTCATATGACAAGGCGGCCAAGCGCTGCAAGCAGCGCGACCCAAACATCAGAACCACGACGGATCACCTGGCCACCACTGCCGCCCAACAGAAACCCCCGGGCGCCGTCTGGACTGCCCTTCTCGGGCGATGCGCCCCTGCAGACGACGACTACATACGGCGGCTGACTGTGGACAATGGAACCACCCCCACGCCTGCTACACTGTTCGCTGACCAAAACACGGCCTTCGAAAGGCTGTCGCTGCAGTGGGCGGTGGCACTCCTACGCCGATGGTGCCTACCTGATTGGCTGCAGCATGCACATCTTGCCCTGGTATTTAACCGAAATGTTCCGACATGTAAGGAAAATAACACAGGACCGAGGCGAAGGCTCCTGCGTTCCATCGGCATGGGGGGCATTTCGTCCCCCCTCCCCTGGCGCCTGGCCTAGGACCCCGTGATAGAGGCCACTGCTGCCGCAGCGTCAGGCAGCTGCCCCACCTACGTTGATAACCTGGCCGCCCTTCTGAACTCCGCGGAGCACTCCCTTCGGGCAACAGTCATGCCTCCATGGGCGTTATACGCTACGGGGCTATCGACTGCGTCACACACATGCGGGGGCTTTGCCCTGCTAGCTAGCCCGGATGGCCTCGACAGCGTACTTGCGGCAACGTTGCTGAAGCGCACCCCTCGCCTGAAGGGCACGCACGCATTACCGGGTTCCCGGCCGAGCGAGCCCTGGACATTCTGCGGCTGGACCTTGGGCGCGCGGCAGTGACGGAAGCCTGGCAATGGCAACAAGAATGCAACTGTTCTTTTAAGACCTCCCTGGCCCCAAGCGCAGCACACGGATGGTGGCGGCGCGTCATGGACGCTCCGCCCTTTGGCGGCTCATGCTTCAAGGCCCAATGGCTGTACCCAGGCGCGGTGGTAACTGCGAGGGACGATGGACAGCACGCACTGCCACAGGGACAGATCAGCCCTGAGCATCTGGGAGCCATTACGCAGGGCACCTGTGACAAGGCACTCGCAAAGATGAGAAACAGGGCGCTCACGCTAGACGCGGCCCGCGCATCCCCAGCCAGGCGAGCGGCAGCATGGAACGCATATATCGCTTCCCTGGCCCCGTACTCGCCCCCTCGCCTGCCATTGAGCACACAATGGCTGCGCATCTGCGTGTCGCCATCGGTCTTGCTGGCAACTCGTGGGCACCCGCCTTTGTCCTGACTGGTGTCGGGCCCACCTGCCAGCTTCCCGGCCGACCTCTGTGACAAGTGGCGGCAGCACGGGTGATAGCTGCCCTCGCCCACGCCAGACAGGATGTCTGGGGGCCCAGACCAGGCCGCAAGCGGGCCATGACGCGCTGGAACAAGCTGGTCCGATGGGCCGCTGCCAAGCAGCAGCCGCACATCCACCCACGACCGCGATCTTGCGCTCTTACCCTGGCGAAGGCTGCCGATGCCTTCCGACAGCACATCGCGCAGCCAGACGGCCCATGCGGGCCACGGCCAGGAGTGGCAGACTCTGGCGCATGCCAGGTGCTTCACGGCAGCCTTCCACGTGCCCCGCTCCCTCGCCAACGGCCTGCCAGGGCGGGCTAGATGGCGGGAAGCGCAGGACAGGTTCACGCACCAGTGCAACCAATGTGGTCCTGGGCGCCGCCGTTTGGCACGCGGCCTCAGGAAACACACAGGGCAGCGCCTGGTGCCGGCGATGTCTGGATGGATGGGCCGACCACGAGGCCTTATGGGCCACTGGGCGACCACCTGATCCCCCACAGGAACCGCTAAATGCAAATACTGTTTGGGAGGAATATGCCGGGTAGGTGTAACCTATGCGGCGAAAGCCCTGCGGTACAGACTACGTGGTACAAGCTGTGTGGCGCAAGCTGTAGTGTAAGCTAGGTTGTGACAGCTACGTGGTGTAAACTATGATGTGGCATAGTATACATGGTGAAAGCTATGTGGTGCAAGCTATGCGGCTGCCTCGCCGTTCCTCCTTGGGTCGTTCAGAAGTATACCTGCTTTAACACGGTGATCATGAAGCTTTCAAAAAGAGAGGGGTCGGAGAGGCAAACCGAACGCCTCGCTCGAGACGTCTACGCAATTCGGCCGCGAACCGGCAAGCGTCCCCCTTCCTGGCGGCTCCTCCGTGGGGTGGGTGCCCACGTGCTCTGCCTGCGACATCGCGGTGATCATGGAGCCCTCTTCTGGTCGCGAACGGGCATGTGTCCCCCTCCCTGGCGGCGGCTCCTCCTTTGGGTGCCCACCTGCTGTGCCTGCGATATCGCGGTGATCACGAAGCTCGCAAAAGAGAGGAGTCGGAGAGGAAAACGAGCGCCTCGCTCGAGACGTCCCCTCAACCTGGGCGCGAACGGGCAAGTGTCCCCCTCCCCAGCTGCTCCTCCTCGTGATGCCCACGTGGTATACCTGCTGTATCGCGGTGACCATGAAACTCTCAGAAAAGGGAAAGATCGGAAGGGCAACACGAGCGCCTCGTTCGACGCATCCCCACAAACTGGCAGGCATTCCCCTCCCTGGCTGCCGAGCGAACTGCGTGAGACAGCCCCACTATCTGGCCGCGAACGGATAGGCGTCCCTCTCCCTGGCTGCTCTTCGTTGGGGGCCCCAAATGCCACGCCTGCTTCATGGCGGTGAGTACGAGTGAGTGTGAGTGTGACTGATCAGAGTGTGCGTGGTCCTTGTGTAAGAGTGTCTGAGTATCAGTGGATATAAGTGCATGTGTCGTCGGAGAAGGAAAACCATGGTGGCTCTGAGTCTGAGTGAACCAGGGGAAAGAGGGAGATGAAGGTATCACATTGATAACCAGAAACTCATCTCAAGGACGTGGTAGAAGGAACACAACTCAGCATCACCCTCCGCATCATTACAATCACCATCACCACCCATCGAGTCATCCATCGTCACCACCGCACCCTTAAGCCTGTTCCCCTTTATCACCATTACCGATCATGCATCACTAACGACAATGATCAGCATCAACATCATAAGCATCATCAGCATCAGCATCATCATCAATGTCATCAACGCCATCGTCAACGCCATCGACATCATCATCATCAGCAGCAGCATCAGCCTCAGCATCATCATCACCATCATCAGTAGCATCATCAGCATCATCAGCACCAACATCATCATCGTCATCATCATCATCACCATCATCACCAGTAGCAGCGTCATAGCAATCATCAGCATCGTCATCAACAGCATCACCATCGTCATCGTCATCATCATGGTCATCCTCAGCAGCGGCATCGTCATGAGCATCAGCATCGTAATCAACAGCAGCAGCATTGTCATCATCATCGTCATCATCGTCGCCCTGCTATCGCTGCATCCGCGGCCCTAGCATCTGCTCCGCTGTCGAGGTTCCCACTAAGGCCAAGCGGGCAAACGTGGGCCCATAAAAGGACTCGGGACGGCCGGCCGAACGTGGGATGATCGAGGCTTGCTCCTTCCTCACTTCCTCTCCCCTGGATGTCGACACCTAGGAGAAATCTGCGGCGCGGATTCTCCTTCAGCTGCGATTTGTTCCGATCGTCCTCTTCTTCAAACGCGCACACACACAGTGGGTGAGGCGGAGGGAAATAGAGAAAGAGAGAGGAAAAGGATGAAATTGAAAGGCAGGAGAAAACCAAATCCCACGGACCCTTTGGAACTAGCCGCACTGAGTGTCGAAGCAGCAGGCCGCTGCGCACTCAGCGTGGAGGCGATCGACAGGGCAAATGAGCCGACAGTCCAGCACGAGTGTACTGATCTGGTGCGCTCATGATGCAGCCGGACGCTGAAAACCGGAAAGAGGCGTGGAGAGGAAGATGGGGAAGGCGCGGGGCATGAGAGCGTCGAGGACGCGTGCGGGAAAATGAGCACGGGGAGACACGGAGCGAGGAACGCAGCACGGCTAGGGGATGTTTACCTGCATCCGCTGCGCGACCTGTAGCTACTGCACTCGCACTGGCACGTCGGCATATCTGGTGTCGATGGTTCTCCCGCAAGGTTCTACCAAGTGGAAGACGTGCGGTCGCATGGATGGGAGTCCAAGAACGAGGAACGTGGAAGATGACTCGGAGCAAACCGAACAGGTGCAGCAACACTTGGGGCAAGTTGGCATCAGAAGAAAAAGAGGAGCCGAAGTCGTGCTCGTAGGTGGTGAGCATCGAATTCCTGTCCTCAGGAATGGATGTGTGTCAAACGGTTGTCCCGCGGCCATCGCGCCCTCATTGATTTCACCGAATGCCACTGCATATCCTCCCTTTCCTCCCCCCCTCCCATTTTCATCCCGTCTCCCGCCTCTCCCCCCCTAGCCCACAGTCCTGTTCCTTCAGCAGGCTCCTGCATATCACATCAATTGGTTACTCCGCTGTCGCTACCTCGACGCGACGATGGTACGACGGCTAGGCAGCAGGTAAAACAGATACAACAACTACATCAAATAAATCGTACACAACATACCCAACACTTGAGACCGATTCAACCTATACAGCATATACAGCGTACAACATGTGTAGCGCACTACATGTTATAGGCACAGCATAAACACAAGACAGTATCGACCGTACACGCCATGTATATGACATGTTTAGCATGCACACCTACGCATTCGAAACAATAACGACACACGTTACGTCACGGCCACGATGTCCAACATATGCTACATATCCGCCGATCCGTCGTGTGAGTTTCTGAGAGCGTGGACTTGAGCTCGCTCAAGCTTCGCTCTGCAAGCGGGGGTGGGGTGGGGACGCCATTCCCGATGCCATTCAGTGCTCGGGAGCCCGGGGGGGGGACGCCATTCCCGACGCCATTCAGTGCTCGGGAGCCCGGGGGGGTTCGCTCTGCAGGAGGGTGGGGGAACGCCATTCCCGACGCCATTGAGTGCTCGGGGGCCGGGGGCGGTTTCTCTCTGCAAGGAGGAGGGGGGGGTTATACGCTATTCCCGACGCCATTCAGTGCTCAGGGGCCGGGGGGGGTTCGCTCTGCTCTGCAAGGGGGGGGAAAGGGACGCGACTCCCGATGGCATTCAGTGCTCGGGAGCTGGGAGGGGGGTCGCTCTGCAAGGAGAGAGGGGGGGGGGAAGCCATTCCCGAAGCCATTCAGTGCTCGGGAGCCGGTGGGGGGAGGGTTCGCTCTGCAGGGGGGGGAGGGGACGCCATTCCCGGCGCCATGCAGTGCTCCGGGGCGGGGGGGCTTCGCTTCCCAAGGTCCCACAAACTCCCCGGACCGCGTCACGACGGCTCAAAAGGGTTCCAAGACGACCCAAAAACGGGGCAAGGGAACGCCAAGACGGCCCAAGAAGGGCCCAAGCCAGCCCAAGAGGGCTCCACCAGGGCCCCAGGAGAGGCCCAAAAGGGAGAGCCGACCCGAAAATCAAAGTCTTTCCTTTTACGGCGTTCTCCAGAGGCTCCAAAACGCCCCCAGGAGGCCCAACAGGCCCCCAAAAAGCCCGCAAGAGAATCCAGAACGCCCCCAAGAGGCCCGAAACAAGGCCCAAGAGGCCCCAAAACGAGACCCAAGACGCTTCCCGAGGTCCCTTGCTCAATCCCCTGAGCCTCAACCATCAAGCTGGTGGATCCTTCATGGGCTCACACACCAAACTCTCAAATCTCTTGGGCCTCTCCGCGCGCCCTCTGGGGACCCTCGGAATACTCCCGCATAACATTTTCCAGCCCAAGGAGGGCCCGAGACGGACCAACAAGGCCCGAAGAGGCCCTCAAGACGATCCAAAACGGCCCGATAAGGGTTTAGGGTTTCAAGACGACCCAAGATGTCCTCCCTCCTCCATCCGCTTCCTCCCTCCTCACAAAAAGCCAAAAACAGCCCCAGGACGGCCGCTAGGAGTTCCACAAGATGTGGAGACGGAAGACGCAGCATATGATAGCGTACCTCTTCCTCCTCATCAGCTTCATCGTAATCGTCGTCATCAGCATCCCCATCACCATCACCATGGTCAACGTCATCATCATCAGCATCAGCATCCTACACATCCTCATCATCATCACCACCACCATCACCATCATCATCATCATCATCATCATCGTCACCATCGTCATCATCATCATTATCATCATCATCATCATCATCATCATCAGCATCATCATCATCATCAGCATCATCATCATCATCATCATCATCATCATCGTCGTCATATAAGCATCATCATTATCATCATTATCATCATCATCGTCCTCATCCGAATCACCATCATCAGCATCATCAGCATCACCACTGTCAATGGCACAGAATATGTTCCAATGTAGTAGCTAAGCATGATTTAATGATTGCTAGCATGCACGTGTGTGTGTTGCTTGCTTGCTTGCGGTACATACTTGTGTGTAGGTGTGTGCGCGCCCGCTGCCTATTTTGACTCAAACTGATTCGTAGGGGCCCCTGAGCTGATATAAACTACGAGCAGATCTTATCGACCACAATCTATTCAATTTCATATTTGGTTTGGAACTTCGTGTGTTCAAACTTCGGTAGTTCTGTTGAGTGCTACCGACATTGGTAGCGGAGCCAACGGCTCCAGGTCCACGGCCAGACCGATAAAGTCCGCTCTTGATTCTCTCCCGACAGAGTCGAGAGATGCGGCCCAACGGTCAACCAGGACCGGGACGCGGACAAGGTGAAGGGCGTGGCGGTGACGACGCTGGACGTGGACGCGGTGCTGGACGCGGACGCGGCCAGCAGGAGGAACGTCGTGGAGCCGAGGAGCAGGAAGTACCAGACGACGACAGCGAGCTCCTCGGAGGAGGTCGAGGCGGACGTGATCGGCCACCACAGATGGACGCGGGCTTGGCGAAGTGTTGCCCGGACGCGACTGACCTCAGCCACGCGACGTACAGGAACTTTCGACGGAGAGCGACGGTGCTCCAGAGGTTGTGTGCGCGCCGAGGCGCGTCAGTGGTGAGTGAGGGCGCCTACTTGCTCCTGCAGAGCCTGCAGGGCGACGCGTGGGACGCCTGCGACGAGATAAGTTTCGAGAGGATGGACACCGCCGAGGCATTCGAGGAGATATTTGAGAAGTTGGATGTGCTGTACAGGTACACTCAGGAGGTCGAGTTGCCAGGAAGGTGCGACGGATTCTTCGGGGAGTTCGCGCGGCAGTCGAAGGAGACGCTCAACGCGTACGTACTTAGGCACGGCAAGGAGCTGACGAAGCTGCGCGAAGCTGGACTCGAGCTACCAGACCTACTGGCAGGATGGCATATAATGACGCGGGCGGCGATTCCCCAGTGGCAAGTACCCAACCTCAAGGCGCTGTGCAACAACAGGTTGACGGTGCAGGTGGTCACGGAGGGTCTGAAGACGATGTTCGGAGGCGATAGCGTGGCGCACAAGAAGGACATCGATCGCGTGAGGAGCACTTATCACGGACGAGGCAGTCGAGAGGAAGGCTACTGGATGGAAGACTACTATGAAGAAGATGATGATGCCTACTATGAGGACGAGTACGACCCGCACGAGGACTACCAAGAAGATGACGACTGGTACGAGGAAGACGAAGAAGTGCCGGAGGATCTCGAGAACGCCTACGAGGCTACCGAGGAGGCCTACGCAGCGTATGCGGAGGCGCGAGCTAAGATGAACGAGTTGGCGAAGTCCCGAGGGTTCTACCCCGTGGTGGCGCTGATCGACGAGAAGCGTGGACTACCCCCTCCAACAGTTGGAAATGCCAGGCCGCCAAAAGGAAGAGGACGCAGCAGCAGTGGCAAAGCGAGAGGCGCGCAGAAGGGCAAGCAGAAAGGACGATACGGTGGACGAGTACCTTTCGGCGGTGGCAAGGGCGGCAAGCACTTCGACGGCAGCCCGAAGACGACGCATACGGGATCTACGCAGCAACACGGACCAAGGTTCAAGCGGCGACGAGATGGAGCACCCACCAAAGGCGACGAGGACGCGAAGATGCTGTACGAGATCGGCACGGACAATAAGTTCACGGAGATCGCTCCAAGCATGGAGACGGCGCACGGATTACCACTCGAAGAAGTGAATTTGGCTACGGGCAAAGCAGTTGGCGACAGTGGAGCTACGAAGCCAGTCGTGGGACTCGACGAATGGCCGAAGTGGCGTAAGAAGCTGACGGACATGGGCATGGCCGACCAGATCACGACGGAACAGTGCCAGAAGACATTCCGGTTCGGCAACGACGCTACGGCGACGGCAAAGCAGATGGTTACGTTCCCAGTCTGGGTTCGCAAGACGAAGCGCGAGATCACGGTTTACCTGGTGCCGGGAAAAGTTTCTCTTTTGGTGGCTCGGCCGTATCTCGAAGAATGGGGCATCGTGGTGGACTACCGCAACAAGAAGGCGATGTACCTGGACGAAGTACCTCAGACGTGGAGCGACATCGAGACAAACGAGAAAGGCCACATGATCCTGGACCTTTTGAGTTTCCCGGAGGACGCGCTGGAGATCAAAGAGGAGTCTAGCTCGACGGACGCCGACACGGACGGATATCACGAGGTCAAGAGCGAAGAGGAGATAGACTTCTACGTGACCAGCACTCATGGCGAGGAGAAGGAGGACGCTGAGACGACGAACTTCGACGCCGAGCAGCTGAAGGACTGGTTTACGAAGGTTAACAGGACGCTCGACGAGAAACCTAAAGTTAAACGCAAGTTTTGGGATATTTTCGTCAATGAGGGACGCATTTCACAGTATGTCGAGCAGCATGGCGACTTCAAAACGGACAAGTATACGTCGGACACTGGCTGGGATTTTTTACGAGGAAGTCACATCGCGAAGCGTTCTTTGAAAAACTGCGACGTGAGAGGCCAGAGGAAGTTTGGATTTCACCGCCATGTACGCTGTGGTCTTCGATCAACGCGCTGAACGACGCGAGTAAGGACAACAGATATCGGCAGCAGCGCAGACGAGAGCGAGAGAAGCAGAAGAAAGAGTTTCTGAAGTTCAGCCGGGACATCTACGACGAGCAGCAGAAGAACGAGAGGAACGCGCATTTGGAGCATCCCAGGTACGCGACGTCGTGGAGCGAGGACGTCCGGCAGGACATGGGAGGATACAACACGTTCGTGGACCAGTGCGCGTACGGGCTGAAGGCGCTGGACCGCGACGGGCGCAGGATCGGTCCGATCAAGAAGCCCACGAACGCGCGGACGACCAAGTACAAGATGCACGAGGGACTCTGGAGGCGTTGCAGCTGTAAGCAGAAACACGCTATGCTGGAAGGAGCTCACAACATGCGCGGAGTGGAGAACTACCCGAGGAGTATGGCGTCTCAGGCGGCAATCTGCATCGTGGACGACCCGCAAAACGAGTCAAGCTATGCCGTAGAGGAGATGACGCAAGAGGAGTTTGACAAGATCGAGTATAAAGAAGTTTGGAAGAATTTACTTGAGAAGTTCACGCTCGACGAGGTCAAGTGGGCTGAGAAGGTGCATGTGCAGATGGGTCACCCATCGAACGAAGCGTTGGCAGCAGCACTCAAGGAAATGAACGCGGACGATCGCTTGGTAAGCTGCGCGCGGATTTATATTTGTGGGATATGCTTGAAACGGCAGAGGCCTAAGCCAGTTCGGATCGCTAGGATTCCAAAAGATAGAGGTTTCAGCCACACGATCGACATAGACACTTTTCACGTTAAGTGGAACGAGAAGCACAAGCTGATTCTTACGATTATGGACGAGAGCTCGCGATACGAGGTCGACACGGTAGTGCCAGACGAAAAAGCGAAGACCGAGATAAAGGCGATCGAGAAAAACTGGATCAATTGGGCTGGTGTGCCAGTGCGTATTCGTGCTGATCAAAGTGGTGCGCATCTGAGTGAGGAGTTTTCGGAGCGGTGCGACACGCGGCAGATAAAATTGCAGCTCATACCGAGAGACGCTCATCATCGACTCGGGATCCTTGAAAGGAATCACCAAGTACGACGAGAGCAGATCGCGAAGTATCACGAGGACCGACCAGACGACAGCCTGAAGGTTACGGTGCGAGTGACGTGCAACATGAGGAATCAGCTACGCAACGTTCGAGGGTTTACTCCAGCGCAGCGTGCGCTCGGACGGCAGCCCAGAGATCTGGGCAACATGGCAGACGAGCCGACGACGATGGGCGATCTTGGAGAGCACGACGAGGGATTCTATCAGAATCTGGGTCGCAGGCGAGACGCGGCCAAGGCGTACTTCGCGGCGAATATGTCGAGGGCAGTGCGAGAGGCTTTAGCGGCTCGCAACAGACCCTTAGCGAAGGAGTTCCAGATCGGCGAGTACGTCTACTTCTGGAGGCGCGACAAGGGCGAGAGCGACTTGATCAAGAGTTATTGGAAGGGACCGGCGATGGTGTCGCAGGTCGAGTACACGGACGACCCCGATAAGCTGAGGCAGTCAGTTATCTGGTGCGTGCATAACAACACGCTGCTCAGGACGACGCACGAGTTGCTGAGGCCAGAGCTACCCGAGGAGCGACGACAACGCGAGGAGGCAGATGATGATTTCGGTCTACCCTTGTCAACGGCGGAGAGGTTGCTCAAGAGGTTGAAGAACACGACCGGCTCCATCAAGTACAAGGATTGCGTTGGCGACGCGCTCGGGGACCCAGAGGACCACGTAGACGACGGACAGCCCGAGGGCATGGACGTGGACGCTACAGGCGTGGACACTGACGGTAAGGTGGAGGAGCCAGTCGAGGAGCAGGCTCATCGCGACGAAAAGACGAGGAGCAGCGAAGAAGCCGAGCCAGCCGAGCGCGAGGTGAAGGAGGAGCAGCCGCAGTCAGCGGCGGCCGAGTCTCGACCCGAAGCCGATCTACCGGAAGCCGATGGCGGGCGAGAATCTCATCTCGAGGCTCCAAGCCAAGAGAAAGAAGAGGACGCTAAACCGGAGGCCATATGGAGAAACGGAAGGTGGACGACAGGGACGAGTTACTGGAGAGCATTAACGCGGCGAGACGGCTCGACGGGCTCAAACCGTTGGCTAAGAGACCAAGGATAACACCGATGGAGACGGAGGCCACCAAGACGGACACAGGCGACGACGAGCTGCTACTGCTGTACGAGGACGAGGAGATGATCTACCTCACGAACGCGGCGAAGCGCGACGCGGTGGTGGAGGCCAGGCTCACGCCGGACGAAAAGGTGCAGTTCGACGAGGCCAAGACCAAGGCATTGCTACCCTGGATCGAGAACCAGGCGTGGCAGGCGGTGAACGAGGCGACGGCGGGAGCTGGCGAAGTGTGTCCGATGAGGTTTCTGCTGAAGTGGAAGATGAAGGACGGAGCTCGAGAGGCAAATGCGCGAGTGATTCTTCAAGGATTTCACTTGGAGGAGGTGACGAGCACCAACGTGGAGAAGGCAAGCCCTACTCTGACGAGGCTCGCGAGGTACCTCATCCTGCTCATCTTGCGCCAGCAGTCGTGGAAGATGGTGGCAGCTGACGTGAAGAGCGCATTCCTGCAGGCCAAAGACATTCGTGAGCAGGGTGTGCGCATTTTCAGCAGACCGACGAAGGACATCCGAAGGAGGTTGGCAAAGATGATGGGCCTAAAGGACGACGAGATATTGCAGATGCTTAAGCTAGCTTTCGGAGATGTTCGCGCTCCAAGGCAGTGGAATCAGACGATCACGGAGGCCATGATCGACATCGGATTTCTTCAGCACCAGCTGGATCGGTGCTGTTTTCTGTCGTACCGCATCGCGGCCGACGGCGACGACCCCTTTCTGGTGTGGAGCGCAGACGACGGCCAGAACTACGTCCTGGACGGCATTCTGGGTTTACACGTGGACGACTTCATCGGCGGCGGCGAGAACTTGGAGTGCGAGGCCGACCTGACCGACAAGCAGGCCTACGAGGGCACGTTCCTGGACAGGGTGCAGACTCTCAGCAGGCGCTTTAAGTTCGGCAAGTGGGAGCTTCAGAACGGTATCGTTTTCTGCGGTATGGAGACCACGCAGTCGCAGTCAAGGAACGAGATCGAGGTCAAGGCCGAGCAGTACATCCACAAGGCGAAGCCGATTAGCATCGAGAAGGTACGCCGCCAGCACCCGGACGATTTGTGCACGCCGAAGGAGATCAGCCAGCTACAAGGACTTAATGGAGCTATGCAGTGGCCGGAATCCCAGTGCATGGTGCAGGCGGCGGCGACAGTTTCTTTTGCCCAAGGTGACGTGAGCAAAGCCACGGTTGGAAGTTTGCTGGAGGCCAACAAGTCATTGCGGCTCCTGAAGGCGAGTGGCGACGTGGGCATCCGTATTCGTTACGTGCCCAAGTGGGAGCAGCTACGACTCGGAGTGTACTGGGACGCTTCATGGGCAACAAGACAAAACGGCGAGTCGCAAGGAGGCTACGTGATCTTCGCGATCGAGGACGACAGGATCGACGACGGCCAGGCCACGTTTTTGGTTATCATCGATTGGACGAACAAGAAGTTGGTTCGCATTTGCAGGAGTTCTCTGGCCGGGGAGGCTCAGGCGGCGGCCAACGCGGTGGACGCTCTGGAGTTTGCGAAGACGATGCTGACCACGATGCTCTACCCCAACATGCAGCTGACGGGGCCGGACATGCTGCAGGTGCTCGGGCGAAGCCCGTGTATCACAGACTGCAAGGCGCTCTACGATGCAGCCAATTCTCAGGCGCCAGCCGGTGGCCTGACGGAGCGCAGGACGGGCATCGAGATCATGCAAGTGAACGAGAAGATGAAGGAGTTCGGCGGAGTGTGGAGATGGACGAATACACATCAGCAGATGGCGGACGGGCTGACTAAGTTGCAGGTGCGACAGCAGTTCGTGGAGAAGCTGAGGAGGATGACACACGCGCTGAAGTACGACGCGACGTTCACGGCAGGCAAGAAGATCAGCCAGCAAGAGCGTGACAAGAACGAGCAGGAGCTAAACGACGCGGCGGCCGACTTCGACGAGGCGAATGCGGTGGACCAGACACCAGATGAAGTGCCAGCGCGAGAGATGGTCAGAGCGACGAGGGCAGGGACCAGGACAGCACAGAGACTGGCGGCGCTTGTGGCGACAACGGCGGCTACGACGACAAAAGCGGAGGAGACCTGCCCAAGCCTGGACATCAACGAGACGCAGTGGATCTACGTGACCGTGCTCACGATGTCGCTGGTTGTGATGGTGCTGGTTTGCGGCAGTTGTTTGTGTGTGACGTGCTATTTCAAACGGGCGAATGAGCGATTCTGGAAAACAAAGAACGAGGAGATGAAACGCTGTTTGAGAGACACGCCAGCCTCACGCAGAGACGACAACGCCGAGTACATGCGGATGAAGACGAAGTTGAGTGAGCAAGCCGATGAGATCGAGCGCTTGAAAGAGAAGAACGAAGGGCAACGGAGTAAGATCGAAGAAAGAGCCAAGCAGATAGTCGACATGCAGCCATACATGGAGAAGCTGATGACGGATTTCGAGCAGCGCGGCAAGAGCTTAGCGGCATACGACGAGAAGCTGACCAAGACCGAGAAGCTACTGCAGGACGCCAACGAGGAGCTTGGACTGTGCTACAAAAGGCTGTCGACGCTGAACGGTTCGAACGACAAGTTGGAGCGGCAGCTGAATAACACGAGGAACGAGTTACGGCAGATGACGCTGAGAGCTCGAGACGTGCCGGAGCCCAAACGAATGAGGTCGGCGAACACTCAGTCACAGTGTACGTATCGACGAGATCTAGCCACGCCGAGGTTCCAGGAGATAAAGTCGATTCACGAGCCGACGGTGACCACGACGGACGAGTTCACGGCAGGTTCCCTATCGGCGAGCTCAAGCGGTTCATGAACGGCGTGGTGATGGTCATCGTATGCGGGACCTACGATATTCAGGAGACCAGGGCACATCTCTCGACTCTGTAGTTGACACGGTGCAGGTTTTCTGATTTTTTTAGTTGATTTAGGTATGGCAGCGCGTGTGTGATGTAGTATACTAAGGAAACGGGGCTTAAAAGCTTCTTTTCTTTCCCCTGTGTCAATGGCACAGAATCTGTTCCAATGTAGTAGCTAAGCATGATTTAATGATTGCTAGCATGCACGTGTGTGTGTTGCTTGCTTGCTTGCGGTACATACTTGTGTGTAGGTGTGTGCGCGCCCGCTGCCTATTTTGACTCAAACTGATTCGTAGGGGCCCCTGAGCTGATATAAACTACGAGCGGATCTTATCGATCACAATCTATTCAATGTCATATTTGGTTTGGAACTTCGTGTGTTCAAACTTCGGTGGTTCTGTTGAGTGCTACCGACAACCACCATCATCATCATAATCATCATAGGCAAAATCACAATCACTATCGCCGTCCTCACCAACTGCACCACCCTGAGTACCCTGAGAATTCACATCATCAACATCAACACCACCGTCATCATTATCAACCAAATTGTGGGCACACTGCTATCGTCATCACAACCACCATCACCATCACCAGCATCACAATCCTGTTTATCGTCGTCGTCATCACCAGTCATGCTCTTCATCATGGCCATTACCATGGTAAACATCATCAGATTCATCAGCATCATCATCAGCAGCATCATCTCATCATCACCATCACCATCATCATTATCATTATCATCCTCATCATCATCATCATCATCATCATCATCATCATCATCATCATCATCATCATCACCATCATCATCATCATCATCGTCGTCATCAACATCCTCATCATCATGATCATCATTTTCTGGAGCGCCCCGGATCGGCGGCACTGGCCAGAGGCTAGCACAAAACATCATATCACCACATGTGCAACGCATACATCCAGCACAACATATGCAACGTATACATCAGATATGTCATATGGTGTAAACCTATGTATATTCTACATACATACAGATGTACATCGGATAGAACTGAAATACCATATTTACCATAGTCACCGCGTCATATCCATGTATTCAGATTCATCACCTATAGAACATATGCCACCTATACTGCATTCACACCAGCTACAGCACAGACCTCACACACACATAAGCAACATCATACCTGTATGAGCAATATCTTTCGACCACTGGGACACATTGGCCAGACGTTTCCGCGACCTTGAAGCTTAGTTTTACCTGTATTCTCGCACATCAAACTGTCAATTTGGCTGATCACCCGGCGTTTGGTTAGTATTTCGGAGTAGTTGCGATACCCTATTCACTGTTAGCGGATAAGGTGTCACCAGGCAGGAGCGTGTGATGTACCTGTCAGAAGTGAGATATAATTACTGCTTCCACTAGACTAGCACACATCCGAGGAGCCTGCGTGCACCAGTCTTGGTGAGCAAGCAGCGGCGGCAAGGAAGGAACGAGAGGAAACGGCGATGAGGATCAGGATCCCCTCGGCACAGAGACAGGATGGGAGAGAGAGGGAGGCACTGGGAGAGGCAGGAACGGCAGAGAAGTGGAGAAGGTTAGCCTCCAGAGGGAGGAGGAATAGGAGGAGGAGGAGGGGGAAGATGAGGAGGAGGAGGAGGACGGAGGGACGGAGGGATGGAAGAATGGGGAGGGGGAGGAGGAGGAGGAGGAGGAGGAGGAGAAGGAGGACGAGGAGGAAAGGAGGCGCATCTGCCGTGGAGGGTTCACCAGACTGAACTGGCCAGTGGCCGATCCCTAAGCGCGCTTGCACTGCACGCCGCGCCGCAAAGTGTATCTCGTTATTTCTCTGTTGCGACCACGTTTCGCGAACCTTCCTGGCAAAGGAGGGAGGGAGCAAGGAGAGCCCTGGACCGCCTACTGTTGAGGCTTGACGCAGCCAGAAGATCAGCCGTGGCAAGGCTGGCAGCGCATCACAGCTCAGGTGTGTCAATGTCAGGTGCAGATCGTAGGAGGTGATGTTCATGCAGTGCCCAAAATCCCTTTTACCAGCGTCATTGCGGCCCTTGTGGCTCAGCGTGGGATGCACAACCAGCAGCCTCCATGCCACCCTGGCGCTCCAAGAGCTGGGGTCGTGGCGGTGGTGCTCGAGGCGGGCAGGGGCGCATCCGAGACCGCAGCAGAGATTCGTTGGACGGCGAGGTCAGGAAGCTGATTGCTGCGACCCCACCGGCGAGCCCTGCCGAGGCCAAGTTGCACCCCCAGTTCTCGTCACCGTCGCAGAACGCCAGCAGTCACAACATCTTCCACACAGAGGGGAGGAAGAAGCTCTACGACCTGGCCCAACTTAGGGTGGCGGCCTGAGCAGCTGGCAAGGACGGCGAGGACGTGTTGTAGGACATCTCGGTGATGAAGAACTTGCTCATGCTCCTACAGCCTATCCACCGGCGAGTGACGGAGACAAGGCAGAAGGAGGACAAGGCACGAAAGCGACTCGAGGAGATCCGGTTGAAGTTGAAGGAGCTCACAGCCCAGGAGCTGAGGGTCAAAGCAGAGCTGGACCAGCTGGAACTTTGCCTCACCCAGCTACTAGACGAGCAGCACGTCGAGGACGACTGGATGGAGGACGGGCCACATCATGGAAGCGTGCAGGTCGATTCCGACCCGTAGCAAGGTGCAGTCGCAGGTACCTCGCCTGCCGGCGCCGCCCCTGGTCCATCGTGTGGTGGGTCCTCTCCTTCCAACTTGCAGGACAACATGAATCAGCTCATGATGATGCAGAAGCAGAAGCAGCGGTGCATGTTCGAGGCTATGATGGGCGAAATGGTCAAAAAGATGAAGACAATATGCGTCGGCGGGTCTGTCATGCAGCCTCCCTCTCATAGACCTGCGATGGGGTCTACTGTATCAGATCCGCGGCGAGAAATACATTCATTTCTACCAGATGGGTCGATCGGGCCGTGCCCAACACCAGGGACGTCAGAGCCCCAACCAGTCCCAGCTCCTCTTCTCCGTAGGGCAAGATGGCATTCAAGAAGGGAGCTGGAAAAGGCAAGAGCATGGAGGTGGTTGGTGCCAGCGCAGCAAGCCCTTACCCATCCCAGGCGACCACTCAGCCTTCCTCTCCAAAGGTGCCATGCAGTCAAGCGTCACAAATGGCAGTGGCATTATCGGACTCGCAGCGGGTCAAGGAGCAGCTCGACTATGTTCTCAGCACACAAGGCTACCGCGAGATGCATACCCTGGCGTACCGAGCGCTGAGCATGGCTCAGCGGGCGGTGGAGGCGGCGTCCCATGGAGATGGTACGGCGGCTGGGATGCATCGGCGGCAAGGGGGGCGGGCTCCCAAGCAAGGGCTGCGATGGCAGCGGCGGCAGACACCTCAACGCCTACCTCGGCGAGCGCAGCAAGCTGTCCGCAGAGGCGTTGGCAATACCCAGGGACGAACATTTATCTCCGCCTTCGCCAGCAGGGACTCGGGCTCCTCTGCGGCCTATTCCGGCAGCACAGCGTCCAAGGAACGCGGAGGAGGGGACCCCGAGCACTGGGGCCCACATGTGCCAGTGCCCAGAGGGGGAGATCGACGAGGGCCAGTATTGGAGGTCCGTAAATTGGCACCAACACCAACACAGGGAGGGCCTCCAATGAGAGAAGGAAACTCACCAAAGAAACCCGCATATTACCACCATCACCGAGATCGGGAGCATCTTCCCTCGGTGGAGGCACACCGCCGACATTGGTGGTGGTGTCCACTTCTAGGCTTCCGACTGTAGGAGTGAGCCCCCTTGGGGAATCCACGTCAGAAGGCCCATCCCTGATTCGGGGGGGCGGCTGGCCCACCCTGTGTCTCTGTTCGGTCTGCTGCGCAGGAAACGCCTTCACAACGCATCTCTCAAGGTGCCAAAGCATGGCGCACCCCATCCCCCCCCCTCCTTACCTTCCGTCACTCCTACCTCTTCTTCCCCGCGCCTGCAATATGCGAGGGGCCGGAGCGCGCAGGGCGAGTGCGCCTCTGCTGAGCCTTCCTGCTGCTCACCCGAGGGCTCCCCAAGCCACCAACAAAGCAGTGGCCTGAGCCCTCCAGCAAGCAAAACCGTTCGCTTTCATGATCTGCCTGAGGTTAAGGAATATAGCCCAGCAAAATGTTCCGTTTGATTCAGGTTTCACGGTGCCCAGAGAGCTACCAGTTCTCAGCCGATACTCGAATGCAACAGCAAGCTTAGTCAGTGAAATTTGTTTAGGTCACAGCCAGACCGTCCCGTCAAGGCCTCCAGCTCTGCTAGTGCCTCGACCAAGGGGGGTCCCGAGGGCATGGAAGCAGAGGGGGTCTGATTCGAGTGGGTGTCTGGGACGATGACACTCTCTTGGAAGCTATCTTGGATTCACCTGTGCAGGTGCGACACCGAGCTTTGCTACATCGGGGGCATGTGGCACCCTCTTCTGACCTCCAATCACGTAGGGCTTTCAGTTGAGTGTGCCGCGAGCACGATTCTGGAGCTGCTCGCAATAGTTTGGGCAGCTCTTTGGGCGCCCGCCCTTCCCCAGCACTTTGTCGTCACGCTGGAATTCGACTCGAAAGGCGCGTTGCATGGAGCCCAGCAATCAAGACCTGGTGGCTCTGGCCGCTGCCCTTTGGAAGTTAGCTGAGCAGAGCAGTTCATTTTCAACGGGACATGTCAAGTCGCATTGTCACCACCCCTGGAACACCCTGGCGGACAACTTGGCTAAGGAAGCCGATTTGTCCCGCATCCCCCCTACCCCCCTGCCTCCTCTGTTGCTGAAGGCGGTCAGAGTGAAGGACTCCACCCGCTGGGAGTGTTTGGCGGGGGCAGGCGCCGGTTTGGAAACGTACCCCCCTAATTGTTGGCGGATCCTTTGCCTCCCCCCCCCTTGAACCCCCGCTCGGTGCACATCCCCGACCCCGCCCCTGCCCATTCGCGTTACGCAG